TGAGCATCTTCATGTGCTCAATCGATGTTAGAGTGCTCCTCAGAGAAGGTACCTTTGCATTTAATGTCAGATGATAGTTGGGAGTTTGTTTATGGGACAAGGGAGTGAGGGCACATCTTAGGAGATAAGGGTGAATGTGTAATAAAACAAAGGAAAGAAAGAGTTTGGCATGTTTGAGGGTTTGCAGATTGTTCATGTGGCTGGAGCACAGAATGTCTGTGTGGCAGTGTGGCCGGAGAGGAGATGTAAAAGTAAAGAAAGGCAAGTGCGGGGGGGATTCATAAACAGCCTTGGACCTCAATTGTAAGGACTTCACACTTTTTCTAGTGGGTGATCGGCAGCTAGTGCAGAAGTTTAAACAAATGACACCATCAAATTTGTATTTTAGAAAGATTATTCTGTTTGCAGTGTAAAGGATGATTTTGTTTTAAAAGGGGGCAGGATGCAGTGGAGGCATAGAAACAGTGTTGAAACAGATAGCAAAGTCCTTCCATAGTCTTTTTGCCCCTTGAAGCTGCTACCTCATGTCACTGTCTTTAGATGCTGGGGGAGACAGTTGGAAACAGAATTCTAGAAAGAATTATCTATACTCCCCTTCTACAGGTCTCACCTTCCATTCATTCCTCATCCAGTGGCTTCCACATTTCTGCCACTCCATCACCAGCTTAGAAACCCTGGTGGCATAGTGGTTAAGTGCTGTGGCTGCTAAACAAAAGACTGGCATCCAGTCCACCAGGCGCTCCTTGAAAACTCTATGGGGCAGTTCTACTGTGTCCTGTAGGGTCTCTGTAAGTCAGAATCGACCCAACAGCAACGCGTTTGGTTTGTTTTTTTTTAATAACCAGCTTTGGGGCAAGTCATCAGTCACTTCCTGATTGCAGATCCAGGGGACATGCTTCAAAACTTGCAGCAACTTTTGCTATCAGATAGTGTAGATGAATTCTTTCTTGAAATTTGCTTTTTACCTTGGCTTCTGTGATACTTCTCTCTCCGAGGCACCTGTTGATTTTTTTATTTTACGCGTTCCCAGAATTATATCTTTGGCTTTTTTTTCACCTTGCAGCCTTCATATATGTAAATGCCAAAATTTTCAGCCTAGGTCTCTCTGCTGTATTAATATATTCTGTCATCTACTGCAACCCAAACCTACTGCTGTTGAGTCAATTCCAAGTCATAGCAACCCTGTAGGACAGAGTAGAACTGTCCCATCGAGTTTCCTAGGCGGTAATGTTTAGGGAAACAGACTGCCACATCTTTCTCCCAGGGAGAGGCTGGTGGGTTTAAACTGCCAACCTTTCAGTTAGCAGCCGAGTGCTTTAACCACTGCACCACCAGGGCTCTTACTATTGTCTACAAAACATAACCATCATTTATGGAGGGCTGACTGTGTGCTAGGCATCATGTTAAGTGCTTTGCTTGCATGATCTCATTTAATCCTTACAAAAACCTATGAGTGACTAACTTTTCTTTACAAGAATTAGGAAACTGAGGTCCACAGAGATTAATCTATTGACCAGCAGAAGTGGGATTCAAATCAGGGATCTGACGACAGATCTTAGGTGCATAGCCACCTAGTGCCCCTCAAATCTGTAACTCAGCATGCCCCACACTAAACTCACAGAGGAAAAAGTACCTATTAAAATTGTAGCTAGTATTTATTGGTGCTTGTTCTCTGTCATCTAATCCTTAAAACAACCTTCTGAGTAGACACTTATATTGCTGATTTTACAGATGGGGAAACATTTTGCTCAGAGTCACACTAGTAACCATGGGAGACTAATTCCAGGACCTGGGTTTTAAGTGGAGCAGCCCTGGAGGGGCAGTGGTTAAGTGCTCGACTGCGAACTGAAAGTTCGGTGGTTGGAACCCACCAGCCACTCCATGGGAGGAAGATGTGGCAGTCAGCTTCTGTAAAGATTTACAGCCTTGGAAACCCTGTGGGACAGTTCTTCTCTGTCCTGGAGGGTCACTATGAGTCGGAATCGACTGGATGGTGGTGGGTATGGCTTTTTTTTTGTTTGTTTCAAGGTACTCCGCTATACTATGCTCTACTATAATTCAAAAACAGTTGCAGCAGTACATCAACAGGGAACGGCCAGAAATTCAAGCCAGATTCAGAAGAGGATGTAGAAGAAGGGGTATCATTGCTGATGTCAGATGGATCTTTACTGAAAGCAGAGAATACCAGTAAGATGTTTACCTGTGTTTTATTGACTATGCAGAGGTAGTCAGATGTACGGATCAGAAGAAATTATGGTAACATTGCCAAGAATGGAAATTCCAGAACACTGAATTTGGAGCCCTGGTGGCACAGTGGTTAAGAGCTCAGTTGCTAACCAAAAGGTCGCCAGTCGGAATCCACCAGCTGCTCCTTGGAAACCCTATGGGCCAGTTCTACCCTGTCCTCTAGGGTCACTATGTGTCAGAATCAACTCGATGGCAGTGGGTTTGGGTTTTTTGGGTTTTTTTTTTGGTTTTGGTAATTTTGCTCATGCAGAACCTGCACACAGACCAAGAGGCAGTTGCTTGAACAAAACAAGGGGATACCAAGTGGTTTAAAGTCAGGAAACGTGCGTCAAGGTTTTATCCTTTCACCATACTTATTCAGTCGGTACACTAAGTAGGTAATTCGAGAAGCTGAACTATATGAAGAAGAGTGTGGCATCAGGATTGGAGGAAGACTAACAACCTGCAATGTGCAGATGATACAACCTGGCTTGCCAAAAGGGAAAAAGACTTGAAGCACTTACTGATGAAGATCAAAGACTACAGCCTTCAGTGTGGATTACACCTCAACATAAGGACACAAAAATTCTCACAATTGGAGCAGTAAAGCACCATCATGATAAATGGAGAAAATATTGAAGTTGTCAAGGATTTCATTTTACTTGGATCCACAATCAACACCCATGGAAGCAGCAGTCAAGAAATCAAAGGATGCATTGCATTGGGCAAATCTGCTGCGAAAAGTCTCTTTAAAGTGTTAAAAAGCAATGATATCACTTTGAGGACTGAGGTGCACCTGACCCAAACCATGGTATTTTCAATGATTTCATATATATTTGAAAGCTGGGCAGTGAATAAGGAGGATCAAAGAAGAGTTGGTTTATTTGAATTGTGGTGTTGGCAAAGAATATTGAATACACCATGGACTGCCAGAAGAAAGAACAAATCTGTCTTGGAAAAAGTACAGCCAGCATGCTTCTTAGACCCTCACTGAGGTGGATTGACACAGTGGCTCCAGCAATGGGCTGAAACATAGCAACAATTGTGAGGATGGTGCAGGACTAGGCAGTGTTTTGTTCCATTGTACATAGGGTCACCATGAGTTGGAACCAACTCGACAGCACCTAACACACACACACACACACATTCACGGTACACACACACCCCGCACTAAACTGCCCATACTGTATTGCAGTTAATGATACTACTAGCCTGCTTGTTCTGTTTTTGGAAGATAGGAATTATCCTTGATTCTTTCCCCTGCCTTATCAGTACTTTTTATTTAATTTTTTAAAAAAATTATATAAATTTCCTGTTAAAGAAAAAACAGGTTATGCTGAATGTAAGTAAGCCTTTTCTTGATGTCTCATAGTCATAATGTAGTTGAACTGTTTTCCTGTATATTGCATGACCACTGAATACTATAAAGATTCAATTCCTATTTGTTTTATTTTTTTTTTCTATTTCATATGTTCTGTCAGGTTTCCGTTACTGATACTGACATTGCACTTGCCTTTGTAGCCTCTCTCTCTTTCTGATTTGATGTAGGTTGGAAAACAGGTGACCAGGCTTATTAGATCTATATCTACTGATAAGAGTAAATAGGGTTTTTCCTGTCAGAAACTATAGCAGCTTATGTGCTGTGAATTTAATGATGTCTGTTTTGTCTCTGTACCTGCTTATAGTTAGAAAAGTATCCTCATGTAATTGGGGTATATTTATATAATCATTCTTTTCTCTTTAGTATTTTTTCTGCCCAGAGTACCGCAATATCAGAGGATCATCAACATGGCTCCTCAGGACCTGGAGCATTAACTGAATGCCTGAACTGGTGCAAATTGGTTTTCCTTTTTTTTTTTTTTTACAGCCTTCAGTTTTACTCTTAAAAATGTAGTATGCATATTTTATGCTCTAATGGGGAATTAATACATGTTTGTTTTAAACACACACACACCCATCTTTAAATGAAATTGGCAGTTCAGAAATATATTACTGAGTTTGTCTTTGGTTTTGAGTAGCTCTGACACAATGTAATACACACCCAGGTGTTGATTTGAGAAAGATGGTACAAATGCTTGTGCTCACCTTTTCTAACAGCAGCATTTTCGGGTACTGTGTGGCTTAAATTCATCATCTGTGATGTACTTCCCTCAGGTATACTTTACTAATACACTAGTATGTGGTCTTGGGGAAATCAATCCTGACTTAGAGTTAGGTTTCTTAAAAGTGTGTTGAAATATTCGTTAATTTACTGAAAACAGATTTAAAAGTTTATTAACATACCATGTTAGACATTAATTGCTGTTAAAAATAATCAAAATGCAAAGAAATTGAAACATAAGTGAGCGATTACTCTATACCTATAGGAAGACCGGTCTGATTCCAGAAAAAAGCAAATGGCTTGAAGTTTGCTGGTTACAATGAAGCTTGTAAAGAAAAGAGGAGGGAGAAGAATAGAAGATCGATCATTGGCTAATCTTAATGTGATTGAGTGAACCCTGCTCTTCCCGTTTTACTGAGATCAATTGATACGAAGTCACAGGGTAGTGTCTGGCCCTCCACCCACCTTCAGCCATGTCTTTTGAAGTTCAAATTTAGTAAGCCTGACTTCCACCAGGGAAGCCCTGGTGGCACAGTGGTTAAGAGCTCAGGCTGCTAACCGAGAGGTAAAAGGTTGGCAGTTCGAATCCACTAGCCACTCTTTGGAAGCCCTGTGGGGCAGTTCTCCTCTGTCCTGCAGGGTCGCTATGAGTTGGAATCAACTTGACAGTAGCGGGTTTGGTTTTAGGTTTGGCTTCCAACAGGAAAGAAAAAATAGCAACTTTGGGTGATAGAAAAGCCGTTGGCAGGATTAATTTTGGTCAGGAGTTTTTTTACAGTGAATATTTGGTTTCGTGGGTAAGAAGACCTTAGAATCAAAGTAAGATGTCTGTTATTAATTCTTCTTTTTGACACTGCCTTTCAAAATTTTTTTTGTTTCTTTTTCCAAATATAAAATCTCCTGCTGTCTAGTCGATCTGATTCATACTGACCCTGTAGGATAAAGTAGAACTGCCTCACAGAGTTTCCAAGGCTCTAAATCTTTCGATATAAATATTTTATTCAAATATTATCTAATTTGCTTTACTCTCTTTCAGGACCCTAAATTCATTCAAAGTTATTTAAGTCAGTTGTCTAAGATTAGAATAAGAGAGTATAATTTTATTGGTATAAGCCTGAGGAGATAGTGGACAAACAGTGCATAGTCTTGGGTGAAGAATATTTTATCATTTTTATTTGAAAGTTTCACATTACAAATGAATCTTTTTTTATAGGATCCTGACTGAGGCAGTGCTTTACGTAACTGCTCAGTGCTCTCGATAAAACTGAGATATGCCCATTGGTAAGCTTTTAAGAAATGTATGTATAAAATTTATATTATTTACTTATTTATTTATTTTAAAATTTGGATTATTTAAGAGTTTCCTTAACAGATTAATGAATAAAGTAGGTGTTATTGACCAAAGATTACATTTTGAGATATATAATAGCTTGGTATTCAATTTTATATTTAGTGTTGGTGATTAAGGTATGTATGTTTTCAATGGATAGTAGTTTGGAACCCAGATGGACAAAATAAATAATAATTAAAACATATGATTAGTCTTTATTCTTTATCACCAAAATTGGGTGTTTTACTCTAGGACAGATATCTGCAAATTTTTTTTTTAAAGGGCCAGCTAGTATTTTGGGTTTGGTCTCTGTAGCAGCTATTCATTTATGCCACTGCTCAGCTCTGTTGTAGCACAAAAGCAGCCGTGATACTTAACTGAATGGGCATGGCTGTGTTTCAATAAAACTTCACTTAAAAAAAAAAAAACAGGCAACTGGCCTATGGACTGTAGTTTGCCAGTGCCTGCACTAGAGCATTTATTCATTCATTCAGCATTCATTCATTTAAAACATGTTAATTGAACATATACTCTGCCAGACCCTGTAATAGTAACTAGGGATGTAATGCGAAGCTATGTAGTATAGTAGTATAGTAGGGGAGACAACGATGAATATACAAATTTATTTATACAAATAATTGCATAATTTCATGTGTTAAGTGCTATGAAGGAAAAGAACAGTCTGCTATGTGAGAAACAGGGTTTTGGATGAAGGTGTCAGGAAATGTACCACTTTAGAAGCACCATTTAGGTAGCCAGGTGGGGAATTAGAGGAGCTTTGAAGTTAGAAGCATCTGCATGTAGGAAAGCCTTGAGGCTAGAAGGAGCTTGTCTGGTGAGGAGTTAGAAGAAGGGAACTGTGGCTGCAATGTGGGGATCTAAGGGGATATTTGTCTTGATTTTAAGCTGTAGAGAGAGGAAGGTGAGGAAGTGCAGAACCCTGTAGGGCACGTTAGGGACTTGTTTTATTTTATCCTAAATGAAATGTGAAACTATTATAGTGTCTTAAGCAGGGGAGTAACATGATCTGATTTATGTTTTCAAGGAAAAAAAGACAACTTTTAGCTTTAAGGTTTGTTGAATGCTGATTATAGGCTAGGTAAGTGTTGTCCATGATTTTACAGATAAGGAAAATGAAGTTTAGAAATGATAAGGAACTTGCTAAAGAAAACATAACCAATAATGGTAATACTACTATGCATTAGAAGTAAAAAATTAATTTAGTAAAGGAAACTTAGAGTGGTCCAAAAGGTAAGAGGGTTACAGGTGAATGTTGGGTTACCTAAGCAAGAGAGAGAACGTTTTAAGGAGGAAGGAGTGGTCAGTTGTTCTAATGCAGCTGGTGAACTCATGCAGGCTTTTACAAAACTATGTTCTTTAACATAATAATAATGCTGATATGTGTTATAATAGAATTGTCTAGAAAAACGACATGAATCGTTCTGTCTTTTGTAGTTGAGAGTGAAGCCAAAGTAAAAACTAAAGTTCGCTTTGAAGAATTGCTTAAGACCCACAATGATCTAATACGAGAAAGAAAAAAACTGCAGAAAAAGATCGCCAAATCTGGAGAAAACATCTCAGTAAGTAATTGATAATTTACTAATGGTGATTTATATACCTGCACAGAATTATGACTTCATATGAAAGCTCTAAGGAACTTTGGAAATTAAAGAGATTAAGTCTATGTCATGGTCAATAGCACATGATAAAATTACATAAGAATCTACATCACTCCTAGAGTATTGAGTTCAGTCTTGTGAACTGTCCTATAATAACAGAGAAACTGATGAGAGTGACCAGTGATAATGAGGAAACTCAGAATTAGCCATATTACACATTTCTGAAGAAAATGAAGATTTTTAGCCCAGAGTTGTGAAGAATTTACGAGGTAATATCTTCAGATATTTAGTGGGTTAACTTTATTTGCACTTACTCTGTGAGATTCTTCCCAGTAGAAACAGGAGAAGTCAGTGGAACCATAGGCAGTAGTTATCCTTTTGTCTCTGAGGCACACTTTCAAATGTTAGATTTTTGGCAGCACTCTTGAAGGGATTAAAAATTCAGAACTCAAAACAGTACTAGGCAAATCTGTATTGAGCTACAACCTGATTCCCATGCTATTATAGAGAGTCTGTAATAACATCCACGGGTATTGCACTATTCACTTTTCAAATCTATCTCACTGTTTCAGTTGCACTATTTACTTCTATGACCATATCTCTTGTATCCTCACAAAAACAAAACAAGTTCATGCATATTCTGGTAAATGATACATGATATTTCTTTGAGGGGAGAATTACGATGAGTTATACATCCTTGTAGTGAGTTTTGCCCCATTCTGTACTTTGTTATTTGGCCATTCATTTTAATATTCTGTCTGACTGCCAGTATATATTCTCGAATAAAGCAAAAGTAAGTATTAGCATTGGCCAGATTCCAGCCGCACGTGTGAGGGGTTCATTGTGCACCAGTGTACGTACCACTGTACACCAATTTAGAACTACTGACAGAATGAGTCAGATTTAGGTCTCTCCCACAGTGGGTACGTCCTAAAATAGAATGTGCATTTTCTGATGGTACTGATACTCAGCTGTTTTGAGTATTAATGCATTGGCTGTGTAATCACTTAGAAGGGTTATTGTGAGGGGATTGAAGCATTAGATTCTTGGTTGAATTAGGCCATTAACATCTTTTTCAACCCCGAGTTCTAGGATTTTAAGATCAGTCTGCGATTAATTCAGGTCGGGATTGCTGATGGAAGCTACTAGATATGTTACTGAAAAGCTTGGTTGTTGTACTTGATGTCAGCATCAGAGATTAGCAGAACCACTGTAAACAGTTTGCATTAGAACTTTATGCAGTTGGAATGCTTTGATATCATTGGCTGTATCTCACTTCTTGGTTAAGATAGCCTTGCAAACATAGCTCCAAATTCGTCTTTGCATATTCAGATATCCATGAAGACTTGCAAGGTAAGAACTGGCACCAGCACTAGTAAAGATCAGAATCTGTCTACACTAGTAACTAGGAGTAAGTTATGCTAACTACTGTGGTGAAGGGGCTGTATTAGGAAATACCTGGCCAATGCATGTGCTTCAGTGTGAATCTGCAGAGTATTGCCAGCAGGGAAGTAGATGGGTACAAACTGCCGATCACCCCCACATATTCCACTGACTTAAGGCTGCTCTGATCAGAAAACTGAACAATCCCCTTTACTGGACAGGCATTGAATTCTGAGACAACCAAAATAATGCCCCGCCACCTCAAATCAGTTCAACTCTACATCTGTTCAGAGCCTGTAGCTGCCAGTAAGCAATATGGTAGAGAGTTTGGGCGTGCGGAGGATGGAACATTGCATGTTGTATGTGCCCTCCCCTCAGATGAGGTGGTTAAGTTAGGCAGAAGCAGAACCACTCTGAAAACAGTTGTCAGCAGGCTCTTTTTATGGGCTTACTTGGTCAAAAAAGAACATGAATTTCTCCTATTTTCTCTTTTTGCCATCAGAGTGGGATTTGTGAGCATGAACAGGATGCAGTTTAGACTAGGAATGCTAAATTAAGTGGATAACTAAGAAGTGGGAAGGGATATGTCCATTTGCCTAAAGTCCAGTTTCGATGTTGAGAAATTCTATCAGGACACAAGTGTGAGGGGAAGCATAAACTACTCACCCTCTCTTGGCAAACACCAGGCAAAAAGGAAATCATAACCACAAAACAGGCCATTTAAAAAGTAATGGAAGTGTCGGTATAATGCTACTGAATATATTACAGTATTTAGAAAGAAAGTGAATGAATTGGATAAAGAAAAAGAAAAATTAATAATATAAAATCATTATAAAATTAAAATAATGTGTTATTAGTACAAGGGTTGACAGATTGGTGGAATAGAGTAAGTGAATCAAAAACTAAGCGTCATCTGATTAGTTTTCCCAGGGTTTCGTTTTTAAAATCTTTTCTTTTAGACCGTAAATTTTTCTTCTATTCCTTAACACATGGTTGTCTCTCTTTCAAATTATTTCCTTCAGGAGTGTCTCACAATCTGTGTATGTTAGCACTTCATTTCTGGTACTCAGTGAAACAGTAGAAAAATTTATGTATGCCCATTTTAACGTAATGGAAATTCAGGATTACTGAGGTATGACTTTGTTCATAGAAGACAAAAAGAAGTTTTTGAAAAGATTAGCAGTGCTTTTTCTGAGTGTGAGACAACCATAGTTGAGATTTGTGTCTTTTTATTTTTCAGTATTTTTTCTTTTAATTTTGTTTTGTTTCTTTTAGATTAAGCATATATTGCTTCTAAGATAGAACATATGAAAATTAACTTTTTTTAAGAGAGATTATTTTTCTTAGATTTGATTGGGGCATTTTTTGAAGAATATGGCTTCATAATTTGTTCTTGGAGAACAGGTAGAATTTGGAAGTATATAAAGAATATCTTAGGTGAGCAAGAGAGTCTTGGCTGTATATTGGAATACTAATTCTTTTAACTTTTTTCCCATCTTTTCACATGTGTTAATATTTTTCTATCTAGAAATTTTTAAACATGGGGTTTTTCTGAAGCTCAATTCAGTCTTCATTGGTAAGCTCATCCATTCCTGGGAGAATGATTCATTTTGATTTTGGCTTTATCTTGTAGCTCTTTAGTTTTGTCTACTTGTATTTCAACAGAGCTTTTTTTTTATTTTTATCACCCAAATTTTTATTTCTAATATCTTTTTTATCCAGTGTCCTTTTTGGATTTCTTTATGATTGTTAACTATTCTTATTTTAAATTCGAAGCCCTGGTGGCACAGTGGTTAAAAGCTTGGCTGCTAACCAAAAGGTTGGCTGTTTGAATCCACTAGCCGCTCCTTGGAAGCTCTACAGGGCATTTCTACTCTGTCTTGTGGGGCCGCTATGAGTTGGAATCTACTTGACGGCAACAGGTTTGGTTTGGTTTGGTTTATTTTAAATTCTTGTTTTGTTTGTGCTATTAATGCATTTTCCTTGAGTATTAATTTTTCTATTTTGTAGGGTTTGGTACCTTTCCTTCATTGGGCTTCTTTCCTTAGTTTCTCATTATCTCATCTTTATATCTGAGAATCACTGTTCCTCTGCCTGTTGGTTGGTTTTAACATAGTCTGCGTCTGCTGTTGGTGAGGGTTGTACCTGCCTTTCTATACTTAGCTGCTTTATCCTCTGGGTAAAAAGCTTTTGCTGCTTAATATAAACAGAGCTGGGGGCAGACAGAGCCATCCATCCCACCTGTCAGTTGGCCATCCTCAGCTTTATTCCCTTCTGCTTGCATTACTCGACTCTGCAGTTAGGTTTCTTCAGAACTGCCCTTGTCTCTGGAGAAGTCGTTTCTCATGGACTGTGGTTTTCTCTGTTTCTCCATAGATCTGATCCTGCCTGTTTTCTATCCTTAGTGAATTTCTCAAAATATCTATTTTACTCCAAGTAGCATCCTTTCTTGATTTTTTTTCCCCTTTTGAAAATACTTCTCATTTCAAATAATTTTGATTGGGAAAAGAGATACAGGCGTGTGCTTAGTCATTTGATTTAACTTGATAACATTTAATATTTAGCAGCATTTTCAGTGATATATCTGGACTAATTACAGGGTAATCCTGGAGCTATGGACTTTTAGTTTTAGAAAGTAATTATGAAGCAGGATAAATGACCCATGTTTTCTGCTGGGGAACCTGAAATGCCTTATTCTTAATGGCTCTTTTAGCCAGTTTCTCAAAGATCTTGTAATTAATGAGTAAGGATCATTTTGTCAATGAGGAAAAATAGCATTTGAGATTTAAGCAGTTAATTCACTTCTGAAAATCATTATGTAGTTTTCTCCATGTTAATTAATTAAATCACTTAATCTGAAGTTGCTTTCAGAGGTTATACTAATCTAATACTGGGAAGAATAAACTAGGAGAGTATTCATCAAATGCTCTAGAATGGTATCGTTTTGCTCAAGTGAGAAAACTGAATTATCTTTTCAGTATTACGTATTGTTCGACGTTAATCACTGTTCTTAAACTGTTTCCTTGTTATCTTTATGTAACTAAACTGTGCTTTGCTGAAACTTCGTTATTGTGTTCTCTTTTCCTAGATTGACCCCTTTAGACGCAATCTTCAGCATATTAAAGGAACTAAAAGTGATAACGTAAGTGTTCCCAACACCGATAACCCCGAGAAGAGCATGCGAGTTTCTAAAGACAAACTAGGGAATACGCAGTCACCTGAAAATCCAAGTGATGATGCTAGTGTAGAGGAAGAAAAACAAGGGAAGTCAAATAGAAAGGTCGCAAAAGCAGCGCCCCAAGTGTCTCCCCAAGAAATCGAACCGGAAACCACTGAGAGGAAGTTGGATTCTACACATCCAAAAGCGCAAACAAAGTCACAGTCGAGTGTTGCTCATCAGAAAAGTAAGAAGGCAAATGAAGGAAAAGAAAACGATTTCGATGGGGAAGAAGAGCTGATGGAAGTGTATCAGCTCCAGGCAGCGGAAGAAATGGCAAAGGAAATTAAGAAGAAAATAAGAAAGAAACTGAAAGAACAGTTGACTTACTTTCCCTCAGATACTTCACTGCATGATGACAAGTTGAGCAGTGAAAAAAAGAAAAAGAAAAAAAAGAAAATTCCGGTCCAGTCTAAAGCTGAAACAAGGTACTTTGTATTGATAAATACAAAATACCCTCTTAAAGAAACAGTGTTATTTTCAGCTCTTGAGTGATAATATGTAATCTAACAAAAAAAAATTCTTAGTCTTTCATTTGGAGACATTGCCAGTACAAGAATATCAGGTACCATTTACTCATTCCTTAACCAGTTGCCGTTGAGTTTATTCTAACTCTTAGGGACCCCATGTGTGTCAGAGTAGAACTGTGCTCCATAGAGTTTTCAATGGCTGATTTTTCAGAAGTAGATTGCCAGGCCTTTAGAGGTGCTTCTGGGTGGACTGGAATCTTCAACCTTTCAGTTAGCAGCCAAGCATGTTAACCATTTACACCACCCAGGGATTCCTGCACAGCCCTTACTATCTATGTGCTCGATGCTATGCAAGAATTAACTCGTTTATTCCTTATAACAATCCTATGAGTAAATATAATATCCTGTTTTGAAGGCAGGGAAACTGAGGTGTTTTAAGTCACAGAACTAGTAAGGGCTGACCAGAACCTTAGCAGTTTAGCTCCAGAGTCTCTGCCCTTAACTACTCACATCTGCTTTTAAAACAATAGAAACTGAATTACTTCTCCTTTTTTTGAATGACAGATTCCTGTCTTTTTATAAAACAGTAGCTCTGATAGCGTGTTTTCCCTATCAGATAAGTAGTAGTTGTTAAGTGTAGAACATACACAAGGAAGGAAATAAAAGTACCAGTAGTCTGACCATCCAAAGGTAATCACTGTTAGCAATTTCGTATTCTTCTAGTCCTTTTCAGTGCTTGTGTAAATGATGTGGGCTTTTATGAGTATATTCATATTTATCCGTCCCTCTTTGGGGGAAAACAGTAAAATAAATAAAAAGTGACTTTTAACCACCATACCTGATTTTTTTTTTTTTTCCCTGCAACCTACATTTAGAGAATCAACTTGAGGTGGGAACATTCTGTATATGAATATTCTTTAGCATTCAGGGACAATTTTCCTACAGCATACAGCCAGCTAAAACAGAAACAAAAACCTCTTATCAAAGCTGTCTAACCAGTGGTAACAGAAGGCAAATTGGATTGCTGCAGAGACACATTAGTATATGTATTAACTGTTGCCGCGTAGAAAAATTACCCCAAAATTCAGCAGCTTAGCAACAGAATGTATTATCTCCCAGTTTCTGTAGGTCAGGAATCCGAGTTTGGCTTAGCCGGGTGCCTCTGACTCTGGGTCTGTCACAAGGCTACAGTCAGGTGTCAGCTGGGGCTGCAGTCTTCTCAAGACTTGACTGAGAAGGATCTGCCAAGCAACATGGCTCTTGGAAGGCCTCAAAAGATCCACTTCTGTGCATATTCATGTTGCCATTGGCAGGTATCAGGCCCTTATTGGCTGTTGGCCAGAGGTATCTGTTCCTTGCCATGTGGGCCTCTCCATGTGGGCTGCTCACATGGCCACTTGCTTCCTCAGAGCGAGGTCAGAGAGAAAGCAAGGCTGAAGTCACAGCCTTCTTGGAACTGGATCTCAGAAGTGGCATCATTACTTCAGTTGAATTGTGTCCATTAGAAGTGAATCACTAGGTCCAGCACACACTGAAGCGGGGAGGGAATTGCACAAAGACATAAATGTGGAAATCAATGGCCATCTTAGAGGCACCACACAATATAGTATAAATCTTTCTTCTGATTGCTACCCCATCTGTGAAATACGATTTTATTTTTTCTCTGGGCTGTATAGCTCAGTTTAAGTTGGCTCATGGGGTATGTATCTCATAACCAAGTATAAAACAATATAATACTTAGTTTGATCGCTAACCATTTTAGTGTATAAGAAACCGTTTGTATTCTGGCAGAAAATGATAGCAGTTTTAAGATTATCCTTGCCTTTAGTCACTGTTTTGCCATACTGTGAACAACTGTAATAATGTCATGTTTGTAATGGCGTGTACTTGAACTGTGTTTGCAGCACATTGACCGTCTCTGAACTTGAGCGTGACAAAGTTGAAGATGAACAAAAGGAGTCTCCAGTTGGAGCAGTGACTTCAGATTCTCATCAAGATGATAAAATAAACTCAATTGAACAAAATGTAGAAGACAACATGGAAGATGACAAAAAATCTAAACCAAAAAAAGCAAAAAAGAAGGCTAAAGCAGGTTTGTTATCTATATTAAATGAAAAATGTGTACCTTGTTAGAAATAACTTGATTCTAGGAACTTAATCCTTAAACAAGTATCTGGTCCCAAAAGATTTAATTGAAAATGCTCTACTGTAGAATATTTGGTGTTTATTCTTGGATTCATCTAGATTAAAACTTTCATTTATTTGTAACTAAGTCTCTGTGACCAGTTTATATTGCTTGAATCATCTCTAACTAGTCACTTAATTTAATTCAGCTCTATAATGATACCGACTTCATATTTGCTATTGTGGCATACAGGATTTCTTCTTTATACCAGTGAGTTCCAAGCCTGTAAATGGTTAAGATTCATAGTTGTTGAAAGCTGGAAATGCTCAAAAGCAAATAAACATTTCAGGTATTAAGGCTGTATCCTTCTGTCAAACATAGTCTCTTTTCCAATTCCTCGTCTTTCTTTTTCCTTCCCACTGTTTCTTTTTTCCTCTTGTTTTTTATATCCCACTTTTCTCATTTATTTTCTCTTATTTTCCTTTACTTCTTGTCTTTTTTCCTACTTCTTCTGTCCACCCCCCCACCCCCACCCCTTCAGTCTCCATTTAGTTGGCCAAAAATTGGAACTAAAACACCCAGGTTTAGAATTTATGGTATTTATTCATTGGAGAATGCAGTTGATGGTGTTTTGTGGTTCCTATAATTTATAGAATTTTTTGTTTAAGTGTGGTATACATGTAGAAAAGCATACATTTCACAAGCATTCAGCTTAGTGATTTTTCACAAATCGAACATACCTGTAAAAATTATTACCTAAATCAAGAAAGAGAACATCATTAGCATGCAGAATACTCTTCAGGTCCCCCTTCCAGTCAGTTGCCCTTCAAGAGTAACCTATCCTGACATCTAACACAGTTTATTTTGGCCTGTTTTGTGCTTTGTATAAATAGAATTGTAAAGATTGTTCTTTGTGCCTGGCTTTTTCACTCAACATTCTTTTTGTGAGATTTAATACTGTTGCATGCAGTTGGGCTTATTCATTCTCATTTCTGTTTTTGTACTGTATGGATATCCATTGTGTGAATATGCCACAATTTATCTAGTTTATTAAGTTGTTTTCCATTTTAGGTATTACATATAAAGCTGCAATGAACGTCACAGTTATGTTTTTTGGTTAACTTACATATAGGTTTCTGTTGGGTATAGTGTTAGGAATAGAGTTACTGTGTCATAGATTATGCATATGTTTAGCTTTAATATATACTTCCAGTTTTCTAAACTTGGTTTACAATTGACAGTAGCAGTGTGAGAAAGTTCCGCCTGCTCCACAGCTTCACCAACACTTAATATTGTCAGTCTTTTTAAAAATTTTAGTCTTTCTTAGGGTATATAGCAGTATCTCATTTTGTTTTAATTTTATTTTACATGATAACTAGTGAAGTTGAGTGTGTTTTTCATGTTTATTGACTGTTTGGAGTCCTTTTTTTATAAATTTGTTCAAGTCTTTTATGAATTTTTTTAAAACATGGGATTGTCTGTCTTTTTCCTCTTGATTTGTAGGAGTTTTTTATGTATCTAGGTATGAATCTTTTGTCAGATATATATACATATACACACCTATATATTGCTAATGTCTTCCCACTCAGGGTTTTAGTATTTCTCTTTTATTGGGATCTTTTGAAATAAAGATATGTTTTTAATTTTATATAGCCCAGATTATTAATTTTTTTCCTTTGATGGTAAGTACTTTTTGTGATTTAAGAAGTCTTTCCCAGATTGTGAATATGTCTTCTATATATTATTTCCTAAAAACCTATCGCTTTACTTTTCACAGTTAAATCTGCAGTGCATCTGAATTTCTGAATTGTTTTTTATATGCAGTGGGAGATAGTAGTCAAGACACCTCCCCCCCACCATATAATTGACCTAGACTGTTTATTGAAGAGAACATCTTTTTTCTCACTGTATTGCAGATTATTTTGAATTTTCTATGTACACAATCTTATCTGTTAATGATAGTTTTATTTCTTTACAGTCTTT